GAGCCTCTAGGGTGACCTTCTCCCCTCCAAATGACTTCCAGCTTCAAAATTGTGGTTTCCTGTTTAGTGCTATTTAAAGACATCCTTTTTGGAGTTTCTTCTCAGGAAATAACAAAAACTAACAAATTACCCATAAGGAATAGTCTTATATTTTGATCATTTTTCCTCATAACTTTCACTTTTTGTGTCTTCCTATTAAAAGCAAATCTGATGAACTATTGTCATTATTCAAGCAGTGCCAAAATTAATGCTTTAATATGTACCTTGTCAGAGTGCTGGAGAAAGTGTATTTACCAAAGACTTAGATGATTAGAAAATGACATGAAAGCTATTGTTTCCCACACTTTAATTTCCTCTGTATTCATGAAAAAGTCTATTTTTGAATTTCACCTTAATTTAGAACATGGAGATCTGGAAACCATTAGAATATTTATTTATTTATTTATTTTTTGTTTTGTGTTGCTTTTTGAGACAGGGCTTCTCTGGGTAGCCCCGAATGTCCTGGAACTTGCTCTGTTGACCAGGCTGGCCACAAACTCAGAGATCCACCTGCTTCTGCTTCCAGAGTGCTGGATTAAAGGCATATGACACCACTGCCAGGCTTAGAATAATTTTTTTTTAAAAAGATTTACTTATTTACTTTGAGACAAGGTTTCACTATGTAACCCTGGCTCCTGGATCTCTTTACTAAACCATGTCAGCTTCAAACTCAGAGAGCTTCATCTGCCCCTTGCCTCCTGAATGCTAGGTTTAAAGGCATGTGCCACTATATCTGCCTGAGCCACAACAAAAAATTATAGTTCTCTCTCTCTCTCTCTCTCTCTCTCTGTGTGTGTGTGTGTGTGTGTGTGTGTGTGTGTGTGTGTAGGCCAGAAGAGGGTATTGGATTGCCTGGGGGCTGGTATTGCAGGCAGTTCTGAGCCTGAAACCAAACTCTGATCTACTCGAGAGCAGCAAGTGCTCTTAACTGCTGAGCCATCTCTCCAGTCTCCTAGAACAACTGTTTTGGGGAATGAGTCATTGTTAAGAGTTGTGCTGAGTTTTACAAACACTAATCTGCTCCTCCCAATACTTTGTGGAGAGTATTGGTACTACAACTGCAGAAGGCAAGGTTCAGAGAGGTATAATAAATCATCTATAAATAAGTGCTAAAATAGCGTTTGAGTTGTAACTTCAAATTTGGTATGCTTCTAATGATTATTGCCAAATTTATTAAGTCATTTAAAGGTTAGGCAATAAGAAATTAGTGAAATTAAATAATAATTTTATGTTTGAAAATGTGAAAAATTTCTTGATTAAAATAGAAGTATTAAGTTTCATGTATAAATTCTGCAAATTTTACTATTTTTTCATTTCTAAAAAAATTGTGTGTGTGTGTGTGTGTGTGTGTGTGTGTGTGAGCACACTCACACACACATGATGTATGTGGGTGGGTACAAGTACCACAGAGCACAGGCTGACAACTTTGTGGAGTTGGTTCCCTTTTCCCACCTTTACATGGGTTCTGGGAATTGAATTCAGGCTGCCAGGCTTCTGTTGCATCTTGAGCCATCTAATCAGTTTAAAATTTTCATTAAAAAAGTGTAACTTTTTGTTGTATTTTTTGGACAGTCTTGCTATATTGCTCGGGCTGATCTTGAGCTTACTATGTAGTCCTGGAAGGAAGGTTACCCCGCCTTTGTTGAAATTACAGGCATGTACTACCATGCCTGGCTTTACATTTTATTTTAATAAAAACATAAGTAATCTGTTGCAGTTCTCCCCCACTGCAGGTTTTATTCTGAAAGTGTCTAGCATTGCTGAAGAAAACAAAACCGTGGACACTGGACCAGAGAATGGCAAATACCTATGTCACTGCATCTGATGGGTACTGTCTTGCTGAACCCACACAGTATTATGGTATGTAATAAAAAACTGCAGTACGACTGTTAATAGAATATTTGTGTGTGTGTATGTGTATGTGTATGTGTATGTGTATGTGTATGTGTATGTGTGTGTGTGTGTGTGTAGAGATGGCTTAGCAGCTAAACTAAGCAGAAAAGCACTGACTGCTTTTCCAGGGGAATAGAGTTTCATTCTCAGTACTCATATACTTTCTCACAACTGTCTGTACCAGTTCCAGGGACTTCAGTCTCTTTCTCGGTCTTCCTCAGCACCAGGCACACAAGAAGGGCACAGACATACATTAAGGCACAGTTCTCTCTCACACAAAATAAACAAATGTAAAAAAATGTGTTCAATTAAAAAATTAACTTGAAAAAATTGAAGCTAGTTTTAAGGACAAAAAGAGTCAAACTTTTATGTTAAAATGTACATGAGCCTTACAGTAGTCATGGTTGATAAATCGTTTTTCTTTAAAGATTTATTTGTGTTATTTTTAATTGTGTGTGTGTGTGTGTGGGGGGTTCCCACAAAAGCCAGAGGCATTGGATCTGCTTGGAGTTGGAGTTACAATAGTTGTGAGCTGCCATGTGGGTGTTGGGAATTGAATCCTGGTCCTCTGTAGGAGCAGAATTCATTTTAATGGCTGAGCCCCTCTTCAGTGCTTGCAAAAAAAATTGTAAAGATCTATTTACTCAGTTTATGTGTATATCGTGTGTGACTGCATGAGTCTTTTGTATACCAAATGAATGTAGGTGCCTGGGAAGGTGAGAAGAGTGTGTCAGGTACCCCGGAGCTGGCGTTACAAGTAGTTGTGAGCCACCATGTGGGTGCTGGGAACTGAACCCCTGATTCTTTGCAAGAGCTATATGGGCTCTTAGTTACTGGGCCATCTCTCCGACACCCAGCTACACTTGAAATTTTAATCTTAATAAAAATCTTGTAAAACAGAAGGAAATGAAGAAAGAATGCAAGGGACACTAGAAATTTTCTACACTTAGACTAAACCTGTGATATAGATGTAATCTTACATATAATTTAAAAAGGAACTTAAACTCTTATTTCCACAGGGGGAGAAAGAGCTAATTATTTAATTTGGACAGTCAGCAGCAATGGTCCTTTTCTTTTTTTAAAAAATAGGTAACTATTTTACTGATTCTTTCCTTTTTTCCTGGTTTGTTCATGGTGCCAGTGATTGGAACCAGGTCTTGTGGTGCTAAGGGAGGACTTTACTACTGAACGTTTACTTCCCAGAAACAGTTTTCTTCTATCAGGCTATTTGGTAGTATTCAACACCCCACTGTTATTGGATGCTATAGAATTGCAAATGATTTGTGTGAGTGATTTTATGTGAATAAAAAGTATCCTGCTTGCTGATCTTGATGGTAGAATTTTGAAGCGAAGTTTAACTCTAACCATCCAATGACTCAGCACCAGGAGAATACAATTACCAGGTACAGACACAGAGTAACCAAACATTGCTGGGTTCTTTTGGAGCTAATATTTTGAATTAAGTCCAGTAATTTTCCTGAAAGCAGGGAGTAAGTTAGCTCTTGGAAATTCTGATGATCATGACAATAATATACTGTGAGCCATCTTATAGTTTATATGTATTTTACATTTTTGTTTATTTATTTTCTTTGCCAAGCTTTTCACTCTAGGCTACTTGACCTCTGAGACTGTGGAAATTCAATGACTCTCATCTCTTTGTAGGAGTGCTGAGATTACAAATGCACACCATTGCATCAGGCAATGGACTCTGGGTATCTTACGGGCAGAGCCATTTTGAGGACCCCCCAGAATATGCTTTAAAAAAAAATCATGCGTGTGTGCGTGCATGCGTATGTGCATGCGTGTGTGTGTGTGTGTGTGTGTGTGTGTGTGTGCGCGCGCGCGCGTGCACGCTCGCGCTCACGCATGCTCAAGCACATACATACATACATACATACATACATACATACATACACACACACACACACACACACACAGGTATATTCATGCTACAGCATAAATATAGAGGTCAGAAGCCAACCTTGATTGTCATTCCATCCTGTTTGAGATAGGATCTCTTTTTGGCTATTGCCATTCTAAGTCCATCTTTCATCCGGCGGAAGGTGTGCTGGGACTACAGACGCACATCTCCAGTCCAGCCGTAAGTGGGTTCTGAGACCCATCAGGCCTTCACGCTGTACAATGAGCACTCTTTCCTTTTGGGATGAGTTAATTTGTTAATTTATATGGGTTATGGCCTGATTGTATTAAAAACAGTTGTAATGGGGTTAGAGACAGGTGTGGTTCAATAGGTGCATGGAGTTGGATTGTTTTTCAGACAAAGGTATTTTAGAGCTGATTGCCCGGTGGGATCTGAAACAAAGTCCAACAGGCTTAAGGAGCATGGCATTCTTTTATTTTTAATTAAAAATGTTTTATTTATTTATTTAGGAGACAAGATCTTATTATATAAGGGTGTTCGGTTTAAGGTCCATCATTGGGAAGTTGGGAGAGGGAGATATTGTGCCCTTAGGGAGTGGGTACAAAGCTGACATTACCAAATTAGAACAAGAGGCACTCTTCTGTGTGGCTTGGGTGGGCAGGTGTTTGCCAAGTCCCAAGAACATTTGTAGATAAGGAGCCTAGGCAATGGGGTGTGGCTGTGGTCAGCCTACTTCTGGGTGTGTGTGTGGGATGCTGAATGTCTTCTTACTGTGCCTGCAGCCTTCTCTGCTTAGGTATTTGCTTACTAGAAGGCATGTTTCCAAGAGGGGCAGACTTCCCATTTATGTGTTGTGACAATAACCATAACAAAGGAAATGCAAAAAGTAGGGGGAAAATCCCTCAAGAATCTGGGAAAGATTCACTTTTCCTTAAGGAGAGAGACTAGCACCACTAGCTACTAATGTCCTTTCTTCTGGCTACTGATCCACCTCTGTCACTTCTGGGGTGACAGCATTTATTAGATGTTATAGTTCCATTTACTGATTTCCTATTATGCTGGACAGCAAGCCCTAAGATGTAGTGTTGAACTAACTTTCTATTGAGTATAAAATATTCTGAAGTTTGAAAACAATTATGAGCATTTGACTTTCATGATTTATTCTTTTTTGTGTTAATAAAACTAGATATTTTGCCAGAACAAATCCATTATCAACTGTGTGACACCGATTTCCAAGAAGCATCCTATTGTCAGTATTCTACTGCTCAGTTCCCTCCAGCTTTACAGTCGCCATCTTTTCAAAGCCATTTCAATACATATGGCTTGGATCCACAGTACGGTAGTGGTGGTTGGTGTGGACTTGATGCCTGTGAAGCAAGTCAGTCCACTTACATGTTTGTTCACGATGATGAAGATGGATTCCCTGGGATACAAAGGTCCAGACCAACTTGTTCGTTACGCTGGAAGGGACAAGATGAGCTCTGCGTGGTCTGTGGTGATAAGGCATCAGGATATCACTACAATGCACTAACCTGTGAAGGCTGCAAAGGTAAGGGTTAAGTCACCACAAAATGGACAGCACTGTGCACACCTGGTGCACACACACAGGCAGAACACCTACAAACATAAAAAAATACTTCATAGAACTCCCCAGGAATATATCACTTCTTGGCCATTAGGCTAAGATCAAGTGTAAAACATGAGAAATGCCGGATGTTAGTGGCGCACGCCTGTAATCCCAGCACTCGGGAGGCAGAGGCAGGTGGATCTCTGTGAGTTCGAGGCCAGCCTGGTCTACAGAGAGAGTGCCAGGATAGACTCCAAAGCTGCACAGAGGAACCCTGTCTCGAAAAACCAAAAACCAAAAAATTAACAACAACAACAACAACAAAAAACAAAACAAAACAAGAGAAACAAAACCAGGGAGAAGCAAGTTTAAAGGGATCAATCTGTGATCAAAAGTAGGAGAATAAAATGCTAAGTTTAAGATTAAGTCCCTCCCTTCCTCCCTCCGTCCTTGCCTTCCTTCCTTTCTGTTTTTCTTTGTTGGCTTTTTGAAACAGGGTCTCAGTGTGTAGCTCTGCAGGCCTAGAACTCACTATGTAGACCAATTTGGCCTCGAACCCACAGAATTCTGCTTGCGTCTTCCTTCTAAGTGCTGGAATTAAAGGCATGCAGCACTATGACAGGTCCTAGGGTTAATTTCTTTTTCTCTTCCCCTTCCACTTATTCTCCTTCTTCTCCTTTTTTTTTTTTTTGAGAAGGTTTCTCTATGCAGCCCTGACTGTCCTGAAACTCACTGTAAAAATCAGGCTGTCCATCTGCCTCTGTCTTCAAAGTGCTGATATTAAGGGCACCCACTACCAGGTCTGTCTCTTCATTTTTGAAGATGACTTTCACATTTCAGTATAAAACTAATTAGTACAAGCAAAACTTTTCCCTATTCCTAGAAGAATTCCATACTGGAACAAAACATGACTTTTTTTTATTAAGATCAGTATGTTAGCCATGACATCTTTTTATGTGCTTGAAGTAATTTACACTCTTGGAGAAAATCTGAAATAAATGACTTCTCTGATACTGAGTCAAAGGATTCTTTAAAATGCTTTGTAAAGAAAGAACAAGGGCTGGAGTGGTGTGGATCAGAGGCTAAGAACACTGGCTGCTCTCCCAGAGGTCCTGAGTTCAATTCCCACCAATCAAATTGTGCCTTACAACAGTCTGTATTGAGATCTGGTGCCCTCTTCTGGCATTCAGGGATACATGCAGGCAGAACACTATACAGAAAAAAAAATCTTAAAAAAAAGAGAACAAACTGAAAGTCTGAAAGCAAAGGTCAGTGTTTGCAAAGAGTGAAAGAGTTTTCTATTCTAATAGTTGCGAAGCAGTCCAGCACTTCATTAATCAATAAATGTAGGGATGGGAATGCAGGCAGGCCATAGCACCCTCAGAAACAAAACAACCCAAACAAGGGAAAACAGGCCAATATAGCATAAATAAACGTGTGTGTCCAGGATTAAATTTTACCTCTAAATCTTGCAACTCAACACTTAACAAAGAATAGCCAAATGGAGACTATAGGAAATGAGATAACAGCATCCTGAGTAGGGTAGCTGGGCAAGGGATAGCCTGCTTTCGAAAATCAGCATTTCACTGTTGAAACCCACCAGAGGCAGTTTTAAAAACGGAAGCTGAGCTTTTACTTCCTTGGTTGAATTGAGATTGTGAAACTCCATCCCTCTTTAGAAGGGGCGTTGACTAAGCTTGGTCACCTCACTGGAGCGAGTCGGAAATGGCAGGGATTGCCGTTTACAATAAGGAGTGAAGGAGGAAAGTGAGGGAGGAGAAGAGCTTTCTCAAGGAGGTAGTTAGTGCTACAGAAGCGTGCTGGGGAACTCCTGACTTTGCCCGCCGAAATCAAATTGTGGGGGTCTTAGAAAAGAGAGGCTTTTCTGACATTTTTGTTTATGTGACCACGTATTGTCTCAAAGGAACCTTGAGCGATGCTTTGTGGGATCGATATTCTGTAGACTGTAATTTGAAAAATTCTTTTAGGTAATTTACCTATAGTAGGATAGAGTGCTGCCTTAATGTGGTAAGAGTATTTAGTTTAATCTCCAGATGTTAGGATCATCCTCAGGATGGATTGAGTGAGTATACCAACTGGAAAGAATTTGATAATTTTCCAGCTTAATTTATACTTAAAAAATTATTGGGAGAAAAAAATCCTCTCGTTTTATTGAAATAATCTAGTAAGCTTGATACCTATAAATGTAAAATGTTAATAAAATGAGAAGTAACTAAAATATCAATATTAAACTTTGAAACTTTTGTTGGTAGGTTTTTTCCGACGTAGCATCACCAAAAATGCAGTTTACAGTTGCAAGAATGGTGGCCACTGTGAAATGGATATGTATATGCGCAGAAAATGCCAAGAGTGCAGACTGAAAAAGTGTAAGGCGGTGGGGATGTTGGCAGAATGTAAGTGCCATTGCGTTTGTGGCTTGGTTTTGTTTTTCTGAGGGGAAGTTAACTTTTTCCAACTTTACTTACCTGGCAAAGGAGACATTGTGGTAACAGTGGTGGCAAGGCTCACCCAGGGCAAGGCTCACCCAATGCACTGGGATGTGCTGACCCCTATGATTTCCACCAATGTGGGAAACTTGCCTAAATTATTTGGATTAGTGGGAGGACTGCTTTTGCACTCTCCTCTTTATAATAACATTGGATTTAAAAATAATAAAATAAGCTTACTGAGGATATAAAGCATTCTGCAATAGTTATTTTGAACATTGTCATATTTTATATATGGGCACATGCACACCACACATATATGTACATTGATTGCTCAACATGGATGGCATTATAAATTTAAGTAGTGATTTCCATAAATGTTGCTCTGTACTGTTTTGCTCTAATCTTGGAATCGGTCATAGTTTCATCTTAAGTAGAAGTTCTTTTGACACTGGAGAGTTAGCTCAGCAGTTAAAAGCACTTGTTGCTCTTGCAGAGGGCCCAGTTCCTAACTTCTGCATGGCAGTTCACAATCATCCATAGCTCCAGCTACAGAGGGTCCAATGCCCTCTTCTGACCTCTACAGGCACCAGGCATGCATGGCAGTGTGCATACATACATGCAAGCAAGACACACACATAAAACAAAATAAATCTAAATAGTAATTTTAAAAGATCTTGTATTTGTATATTACTTAACCTAAAATTATATACTGAATGGAAAAGTGCAAAATTTAAAGTTAGTAGTTGTCAAAATCCAGGCATGTATAGTCCACTAATAGTTAACACATGGGTATCAGGACCTGTCTCCAAATACCCTCACATTAGAGGTTACTGCTTTAACATATGAGGTTTGGAGACACCGTTCAGTCCAAAGAAACCTTTGAAAATGTTGTCTTTTATTTCTTAATTTAATTTATAGACAAAACCTCATAATGTAGCTGGCCTGGAACTTGTTAAGTATGCCAGGCTGGCTTCAAACTCATAGAGATTCTCTTGCCTCTGCCCTCCAAGTTCTGGGATTAAAAAAATATGCCACCACACCTGGCCCAAAAGTTGCCTTTTAACCTGTGTCAGAAAATGTGTGTGGAAGGGAACTCAGAGTCTTCTGAGGGACTCTCTAATAAAATGAACCGTCCTTCACTTTAGCTTAAAGGAATTTTGGCAAGATGAAGCAAGAGAATTGATGGGTACAATTATCGTGATTGGTGAGCATAAGCCTTATTCACATGTTATTCCCACTCATTCAGACCCTGCCACCATTGCCATAGCTCTTCATACTACATTTACCCAATGGTCCTAAAATTGCCTTGTGTTCAGTATTTGAGCATCCATTTCCTCTTCTTCCCCTTCTCTTCTTCCCTTTCCCCTTATTCTCCTCCTCTTTCTCCTCCTTTTCCCTTCTCTTTTGACTCTTCTTCTTCCTTCTTATTTTTCCTTCTTGTGGCATTGAAGGTTGAGCTCAGGGTTCCCACATGCTTGAAAATGTAACCCTAAGCTACACCCATAGACTCCTTTTCTACTTTAAAAATAATTGAAGACAGGGTCTATCGGAGTTTCTAAGGCTGGCATTCAACATGTGATCCTCTTCTCATAGTCTCTTGAGTAGTTGGGGTTATAGGTGTGTACTACCATGTCCAATACTTGATATATTTAAAATGGTTTCCTATTTTTGGGTATTCTTGTTCTCTGACAAATAATAATATAGAAGGGTTTGAAGGTTTTTGTTTTGTTCTACATGTAAGTTCTTCATTTGTTTTTATTTAATAGTTATGTTTTAAATACTTATGAAAATGACGGGTATATTAATTAATACTTGCATAATTTTAGTAGTGATTTATGGTAGCTGTTGCTAGCCCAGTAAAGGCACTAATGGAAGATTAAACCTTCTATAAAAACAATAATTCCCAGGCTGGAGAAACAGTTCAGCAATTAAGAGCATGCACTGCTCTTGCAGAAGACCTGAGTTCAGTCTCAGCACCCATATTGTGTGGCTCACATTCAGCTATAATTCCAGCTCAAGGGGACGTGACACTTCTGGCTTCTGTGGGCACCTGCGCTCATGTGTGCATCCCACACACAGACTCATATAAAGAATTAAGAATAAATCTTTAGGGCTGGAGAGATGGCTCAGAGGTTAAGAGCGCTGACTGCTCTTCCAGAGGTCCTGAGTTCAATTCCCAGCAACCACATGGTGGCTCACAATCATCTGTTATGAGATCTGGTGCCCTCTTCTGGTGTGCAGATATACATGGAAGCAGAATGTTGTATACATAATAAATAAATAAATTTAAATTGATTAAAAAAAGAATAAATCTTTAAAAGCAAACAAACAAAACAATCTTCAAATAAATATTATCCACATTTGAAAAATAACTAAATGTTTTGTCTGGCTTAGAGGAAAACTTGACAGCTTATTTAGAAACTCCTCAGGTAGTTTTCCTTATGTCAAACCATTGATAAAAGTTATAAATAAAGTAGTTCTACTACTCTATAAAATGACAATCTATCTCACTTCCAAGATGCAATTAATGTGCAAATTTCTTATGTAAAAACCTAAACATAATTTGGAAATGAAGACTTATTAGTTTTGTCTGCGTAGCTATTTCAAGTAGAGGAGATAGATAGCTGTGACGGGAAAGGAATATAGGACAGTTAGTTGATGCACACAAGAAGTCTCTGATCATTTAAGAGAGTTTTTATCAAATCCTACAGTGTTACTTTCTGAGACAAAAATACTTTGTGTCAATTTTGTAACATCACAGGTTTGCTCACAGAGATCCAGTGTAAGTCAAAGAGACTTCGTAAGAACTCCAAGCAGAAGATTGCCCTTTACTCTGACCTGCAAGTGGAAGACGAAGGCACAGATAGCAAGCTTGTATCATCCACCACGAGATATGGAAAAGGGGCAAGACCTTTCTTCTATACGTTGCCAGTTTCTTTTTTGACAATGTGTGTAGTAGGCACACATTATAGGTGCCCCTCTGTTTCCTTACAGGTTCAGGAAAGCTTGGCACTAACTCAAGAGGAACATCATCTTATGAATACCATAGTGACTGCCCATCAAAAATTCATGACTCCTTTAGGGGCAGCAAGTCTGCTTGTATGTATCCATTAAGGGCAAAAAAGAACTTGTAATGAATGTTATTAGGAAATGATAGCAAAAATGGCTAAAAACTTTAGTAATTATATGAAAGAAAAACTACTTATTATTTTTATTTCTGTTTGTGGATTAGCTGCAGGAGTATTCCAACCCTGAAGTAAGTTTTCTGAGACTCTCAGAGGCAGCAGTTCTAAACATACAGGGGCTGATGAATTTTACCAAGGGACTGCCAGGTAAAGTTCTGTTTCATTATTTTTTAAGATTTCTTTATTTTTACTTTTGTGTTATGCATGTTTTGCCTGCAAATATATATTCATATCATTTACACACCCTATCATGGAGGCGAAAAGAGAGTGTGAGATTCTCCGGACCTGGAGTTACTGATGGTTATGAGTTACCATGCGGGTGCTGGGAACCAAACCCAGGTCTTCTGTAAGAACAACACATGTTCTTAACTGCTGAGTCATCTCTCCAGGCCCCAATTCCCTGTTTTTAAGATAAAGGGGTAGTATAGCAAAACAAAACCCTCTAATGTGGGGCTGGATATGCAGCTCAGTGGCAGAGCACTTAGACAAGTGTGTGTGAGGCTCTGGGTTCAGTAGAAAACCTTTATTTTCCAGTAATGCTTCTTCTAACTAAAAAAAAAAAAAATTCTTATTTTATCTACCTCAATTAATCATGTGGGTGAAAATCTAAATATTTACAAAATTATTATAATGATGTAGTTTTTTTTTAGATGAAACAGGAAACAAAGAAAATTCCCTGTATAATACTAGAACAAACCATAGTGGACTAAAACTTAGTTATATATAACTCAGTTTCATTATATATTTGCAGGTACAGTAACTCATTGTAAAATTATGTTCTTCAAGGCTAAGGCAACTATGCTTGAGTTGTTCTTGCTATAAAAAAGTGTCACCTAGTTCTGATAAAAGTGCTCTAAGATATTGCCATGTAGAATCAATAATTTATTCAAATTTGAATTTATATGCTATGGCTATTCCCAAGAAACATTTAGGGATGATGAGTAAAGAAATATTTTTAAACATTTAATTTATGAACATTATCTTTTGATTATCTTATTTATTTTTTTAAGGATTTGAAAATTTAACCAATGAGGACCAGACTGCATTACAGAAGGAGTCAAAAACTGAAGTGATGTTCCTTCATGTAGCTCATCTTTACAGTGGGAAAGAATCAACCTCTGGAAGTAAAAAGAAAAAAAAAAGATGCCATTTAACTTTAACATAGTCATGTTAAATTTAGCAACAAATACAAAAAACACAAACAAACAAACAAACAAAAAAGGTGGAAGACAATAGGGGCAATAGAGGAAGACACTGCTTGTCAAATACTAGCTTCCACATGCAAGCACATGCACCCACACACAAACATACACACAGCCATGAACACAGGCAATGTGTGTCATTCCTCTCACACATAAAAAATACCCCAAATGGCAATATGCACTGCCTAGCCTCAGAGTGCCAAAAGAATAAACAAGAGGGTTTTTTTTCACTCTTTTGTATTTTTACAGTATGTTCAGTGTCTGTCTTGAATCATTTCATTATGGAAGAATGTTTCCCTCAAAGATCAGACTTAGGAAGTTAATGTGGAAAATTCATCCAAGTTTTCCATAGAATATAATGCAGTCAAAATTCAAAATTCAATCTTCCTCAGGAACGCATCTATGTTGACTACCCAGCCATTTTAAGTGGAAATGATGACAGGTGAAGCTTCAAAACACTTTACTGACAGAATGACAAAAGTAATGCTGCTTGCTAGGAAAATAGAGAACTTTGAGAAATGTGTGTGTGTGTTCTACTTTGCACTGATACGAACCTGCCTCTTTGGGCAAGAGGAGGATCCTCTCAGAAAGCAGGCAGATGCCCAATTTAATGGTATTCTGTATTCACCGTATGGTTTCATTTACACACACACACACACACACACACACACACACACACACACACACAGCCCAGGCCTACTAGAGCTCATTATGTACCCAAGGAGCATCTTGAATTCCTGATGCTCCTGCTCCCACCTGCCAATCAATGAGTTTACAGACGTATTCATGTACACTGGCTTTATGTGGTGCTGGGGATGGGACCTAGGGCCTTGTGCATGTTAAGCAAGAAGTCTACTGATTGAGTGGCATCATCAGTCTCTTTAATTTTTCATTTTACCAGTTAGTGTAGGAACACATGTCTCATGATAGCTGTTTATAGATAGTCTTCTAATATATCCATCCAGCATTTTCTCTCAACAAAGTCATTCTTTTTAAAATTGTAATTTTTTTATTCTTGGGAGAATTTCATACATGTATTCAAAGTATTTTGATCATACTCACCTTACTTCCTCCCCCACCAACTACCCCAGAATTCCCCACACATCTTTCTCCTAATTTCATGTCCTCCCTTATCCTTCTTAAAAATAATCCAGTGACTCTACTTAGTTCTACTCATATGTGGGCTCATCCATTGGAGTTTGTAACCTTCAACCCCTAAAGAAAGAAGCTAGACTCTCCCTCCTCTAGCAGCTGTCAAATGCCAAGAGCTCCTTAGCTTGGGTGGGGGCTGCTGTGCCCCTAAGCCGGGCTCTTCTAATGAGGAAGACTTTTACCAGCGTTGAAACACTAAGGTGCTGGTGACTTTAAGTTTAAGACACAGTGGCGCTCTGGGTGAAGGCTGAATGCTTGCTTTGAACTCACAACTAATTTGTGGAACACCTCTGTGGTGGTGTAAAGTGCTAGTTAGGCTAAGTGTTGAACCTAGTATCCAATCACCTCACTTCCATAAAAAATGAAACATGTTTTTTAAAAACCAACCAACCCTTTGAATAGAGCAGGAAACCCATCATTGTTCTAGTATGTGTATGCGATAATTCAAACCATAAAGTTCTGTGTTGGTTGAAGGTGTGGGAAGAAGCAAAACGACAAACACAAAAACAACAAAACATTTTGCCAGCCATGCCAGCTGCCTTCACTAACTGCACTTGCTACAGTGCTAACCTTTTAAAACTTATTTACTGGTTGTTTTCCCCAGCATATACTGTACGGTAGTGTTGCTAAAGGGGAGGCCCTTGATAACGTAGTCCATGATTGCTTGAACAGTGTTTGCTTAAGAGTCTCCACAGTCTCTGATGCCCTAGAGTAATGTGTAGAGGGTGTCTGTGTTTAAGAAAGTCATTCTTTATAGCATCATGGGAAACTCATTTTGGGGGGTCTTCTATATACTTTCTACAAAATATGAGCTATTAATCTGGGTTCATGTTCCAGTACCAAAAATGATATTATTTTAGGGGAATGGTTTTCACATAGTAGTCATGTTAGATTCTAAAACGATACTGCATTTACTCTCTGTATAATGATGAGAGTAAAAAATTAAGAGTTTGTATTTTTTTCTTTTGCTAGGTATTATGAGACCATCAAAGCCCTCAGCTCGTACAAGGGAGGTGCATAATCAGAGCAGTGAAGAAAATGTTTATTCTTTGGAAAACTTTTTCAAGCAAGGCAGTTCTTCTGCTACTCTAACTGGTAACATTGTGCAATACAAAGTATCATGCTGGGTGGCCATGCTTCCTTTTCTCCCCTTCGTTTCATTTTGTTACAAGGAGAATGCCCTGGGCTGTTCTGCCCACAGGTTTTCTGTTAAGAGTGTTTCAGTGGTGGTGAAAGGATTTGTAGACACAGTCAATGTATTTGTTAATGTTAGGTAGGTAACCAGTTAGCATTCTATTTGTAACTATTTTCGTTTGGCTACATCACTGCAATTGTTTCCCTATTTAGGTGGGAAGCTATTTGGGGCCTCTGGATCATTCTTTGGGGTGCTTTTCAAAGTTTTCCAGGATGCTGATGTTGTCATATACAGCCAACATCACAGTATCAACCACTTTTATAGATAGAAGGTGAGCCTTACCATGGATAATACAGAAACACCAGAGAGGGGCTTCTGCATGCTATAGCCTCTCAGTCCCACAGCCTTTTGTTTGGTCCATGTTGTGACTGACACCCTGCTATTGTTCTGGTCTTTCTTAGTAGCACACCTAATGAGCCCACTACTGAGGTTCAGGCATGGCGGTCCAGGGCACAGCAAAGGGAATTGTCCTTGCTGGCAGTCACACAGGCAGCCAGCTTGAGTCCCACCTTCATTTCATTTTTCTTATACTAGTTTGAGAGAGAACAAAAGATATTCATGATGTGTTTGCTTCTGTGCTACACTCTGATGAAAACGCACTTGTATTAATCTCTTTAGGCATTACTGAAGAATTCGTTACCTCACTAACTTACTTCTACAGAAGAATGAGTGAACTCAATATAACAGATACGGAATATGCTCTGCTTACAGCAACAACAGTGCTTTTCTCAGGTAAACGCTGTCAGCAAGAAGGTGACATCTGCATGGGAAATCATGAAGTTCTTGGTTATTAAACTTAATTGAGGTTGAATGTACCGATTATATTCCATCACAGTTTGCTGTATGAGTACTCCTTTAAGCACACCATTGTGTGGTAGTTTCTTACATATTTAAAAATGCTTTCATGTCCTTGGATATACTCTCCCAAGTCCTTGATAGAGAAAGTTTCTAGGGAGTTAGCTATATTCTAATCTCCATTTTACTCCTCTTACACTTGAATCGTCTACAGTTCCATTTCACTCCATTTTCTCCAGTTCACCACAACCTGTCAATAGCTTCAGGATCTTGGCATTGCTGATCCCACTGGCCAATTCTCAGTCCTTATCTTACTTGACCCATCAGCTATATTTGGTAGAGAAGCCCATAAGCTCTTAAAAGAAAACAAGAGGACATCCTGTTTCCTGTGAGTCTTTGGGTGGAGTTTTGCAGCCATGGTGAAGATCTCTGGTGTGTTGGGAGGAATCTTCATGCTATCTTCTTGACTTGTCTGTAGCATACATTACATACTGGCTCCAGGTTAAAGTGAGGCAGTTGATAAGCATGGGTAACTCACTGCTTCAAGCCAATGAAATCGTCCTGTCTTAATTGATCAAGACATATTTGTGTTCTTTTTCATTCTAACTTTCGATGGCATCAGGGTTCATGAATGCTCACTAAGTATGCTCATTCAAAGTTCAATCCCATAGGCTCCAGTGCAGCTACATTTCATTTTCCACTTTCTAGTATTATGCTTCATTCTCTCAGAGAAGCTTTGTAAGCCACTGTGCAGTGAAAAGGGTAGAGGAGATAAGCCTGGATTTAGAGGGCTGGAGGGATAGCAGTGTTTATTGTCATCTGGACTTGAATGTTTGGAAAACCAGCTAAGAGTGTTACTAGGAAAAGTTTACCCAAGTTGGACCATAAAACTCTTCTTTTTTTCAGTTCAGTGTAAGAATTAAGCAACAAATTCTGGATGGTGCTGCAACTTCAGTGCTCCACTCCCAGGAGTGGAGTTAGTGGCTAATATTGTCTGTGGCTAACATCGTTTACACATTTTTTTTTTTGAGACAGGGTTTCTCTGTGGCTTTTGGAGGCTGTCCTGGAACTAACTCTTATAGACCAGCCTGGCCTCTGAACTCACAGAGAACTGCCTGCCTCTGCCTCTCGAGTGCTGGTATTAAAGGCGTGCGCCACCAACGTCTGGCCAATAGTTTTAATTGAAGTTTTCTGATAACAACTTCATCACTTTTATCACTTCCCTTCAGTCAATCCTTGTTTAATATCCTTTTCCAGGGCTGGTATTTTTATTCCCAACAATTTATCCTGTCATAATCTTGGCATTCCTACTCACTGTTACATGGAAAATGTTAGGGTCTCCTTGTAGACTGTAGTCCAACTAACAACTTGCCTCCAACTTTGTTAATATTCAGCACTGTTGCAAACAGAACTAAAATCGTGCAAAAACCTGCAAAAACAAGCCACTCTCAGAACTTTCCACTCCAAACCAAACAACCTGACCACTATATTACTCATGTGTCGTGACCCACGATGTCTCAGCCTTAGTCCATGAGGTTCTACCTGAGTGGGGGTGTGTGGACTTGGAAGCTCCAAGCAACCCAACGGCGATAAAGACCAAACACAGGCATCTTGTCATCTTCAGAGAGCTCTCAGTTCCATGTTGTGGAACTAGAGTCATTTCTTTATTAGCCATCTTTTCTGGTGTTTCTTAACTGTCCTGCCAATACCACGAGGGAATCATCCTCTTTTTGTTCCCTCTCTGCTCTGGCTGCTCACCCCTTAACCCCTAACCTTCTGTCCTCACAAGTTATTCATACCTCTAGCTCCTCTGCCCAGGTGAGGGTCTATCCAGATGCTTAGGCACATACAGATGCAAATAAGAGGCATATTACCTTGAGGCTATGGTAAACAGTAGTAGCCTAGTGGCATTAACAATACAATGGTGACCCTGAGCTTCCTGGAGCCACCGCTGTTTACAGCAGCCAGAGACTGGGACCCAAAATATTCCATAACAGAGATATTCGGTCCCCCACATTCATGTAGGTGTTTTTCTTTTGTTAGACATTTAAAAAAACATTTATTTATTCATTTAGTGTGTGTGTGTGTGTGTGTGTGTGTGTGTGTGTGTGTATACATGTCACATATATGGAGGTTGGACAATTTATGGGAGTTGGTTCTCTCCACCACATGGGTCTTGGGGGTTGAACTCAGATAGTCAGGCCTTGAGAGCTTTCTTTTTGTGTCACTGACCCTCAGGAACATCATCCTCTCTTGATTTTTCCCTGTTCATTGGCAATTCTTCCTATGTCTCCTTTATTATTCTGTCTTCTTCATCTCTCACAATGAGAAACGTTTAAGTTGTTTTGAGATGAAGGTACCAGCTTCCCTTTTGGCAGCCATAACGGCCGAACACGTGCTCCATGACCTTGTCTTAGTCACTAGAAAGTCAGATGCCTGCCTCGTGACAAGGAACCAATCAGAAGTTAGTTGGTGGTGCTATGCTTTACGACCCTGGGTGTACTTTACGGACAAGCACACAGCAATGATGCAAAGCATAGCAACCACCCTGGGAGGGCCTATGGGCCATAACAACCAATTGGCCAATCAACACAGGGCAAGCCCTCCAAGCCTGGAGGCACACCAATCCTGAGCCTGTGCGTACCCCTAGACACTCCCCTTCAGCTGTCCTAAAAGATCTCTCCGGAGGCCCTAGGAGCTGTCTTTGCTAGCCATCCGCCATGGCGGGTGGGTGACAGACCCGAGCTAACATGGGATTAGCTTGTTAAATTACAATAAAGCCTCGTGCAGTTTGCGGCAAGCTCTCGAAGCTGCCTGGTGTTTGGGGTGACCACGGTCGTGGCCTGGGACCCTGATACATGAGTTTTCCGGGGGTCTAACAGAGACTCAGTCTACTTTTAGATTAACTCATTATTTTATGTGTGTGTTTTGTCTGCAACTGGTGCACCACAAGTGTGCCTTGGCTGCTGAGGTCAGAAGATGTCAGATCCCTTGGCACTGGGTTACAGATGGTTGTGACAAGGTTCAGTTTTCTTCTGCACTCACTTCCTTCATGACTTCATCCTATCTCTTGGCATTAAAGGTCTGTGTGTATCTGATACCAACTACATTTCATTTTCCACTTTAATAAACCAGAGTTTATTAAATAGCCTCCTGCAGATTTCCATATGACTGAGCAGGTATATCAGGTTTAAAATACCCAAAGCCAAACTCCTGAGACTTTTGCTACCTATTATATTTCTCCTGCACCTGTACTAAACTATATCTTCATCTTCCAAATTGCATGTGCAAATTTAAAAAAATCCTTACCTTTTCTTTCTCCTATACTAATATCGAATATGCACCAAATCTGTTGGCTCAACCCTAAAATATATCTAGCACTTAACCATTTACTGCTTCTTTCTTTTCTGTCTTTCTGTCTTTCTCTTTCTTTCTTTCTTTCTTTCTTTCTTTCTTTCTTTTCTTTCCCTCCTCCTTCTCCTCCTCCTCCTCCTCCTTCTCCTCCACCTCTTCTTCCTCCTCCTCCTCCACCTCTTCTTCTTCCTCCTCCTCCTCCTTTTCTTCTTCTTCTTCTTGAGACAGGGTTTCTCTGTGTAGCCCTGACTGTCCTGGAACTTGTTCTGTAGACCAGGCTGGCCTCGAACTCAGAGATTCATCTGCCTCAGCATTCTGAATCCTGGGATTAAAGGTGTGTGCCATCACTGCCTGGCTTGCTTCCTACTGTTTCTAGCCCGAGCAGTGTACTTGAATCTACTGATCTAACTAGATTTTCTGATTCTATGCCCTATAGATTTTCTCTCTGTTAGCACGGAGGGAGATTCTCTGAAAATGTAAGTCAGATCATGTCCCTCCTCTGTTTGTACCTATTCCTATTTTGCATAAATTAAAGCCCAAGTTCTTTCTGTTATTCTCTATTGCTCCTTTTCAGCCTCTATCTGGCTACACTGTTTCTGACATAGAAATCCATTGAGCACTGCAAGCTTGTGCTACAGGCCTACTATTCTGATGCATCTTTTCCTCTTTTTGCTCAGAGGCCCACACGATGCTCTCTTTCACCTTTGTGTTATTTTATTTTATTTATTTAATTTTTTTTGCCTTCACCATTTTGGGTTTCTGTTAAATGATGCTAAATTCCTAATCAGTCTTTGCAAAATAGCCACTAGCCCTCCACCCCAGAGTCCTATCTGTTTCCTTGTTTACTTTTATCTATAGCACATCAGTATTTTATTTTATTTTATTTTATTTTTTTGGTTTTTCGAGACAGGGTTTCTCTGTGGCTTTGGAGGCTGTCCTGGAACTAGCTCTTGTAGACCAGGCTGGTCTCAAACTCACAGAGATCCACCTGCCTCTGCCTCCTGAGTGCTGGGATTAAAGGCGTGCGTCACCAACGCCCAGCTAGCACATCAGTATTTTATTTTTGCTTTTTAAAAACTATTTTTTATTCATTTATTTTTATTTTTTCTCTCTCCATTTTTTATTTAAATTAGAAACAAGATTATTTTACATGTCAATCCCAGTTCCCTCTGCCTCCCCTCCTCCTCTGCCCACCCCCTCAACTGACACCCTACCTATCCCATACCTTTTCTTTTAGTTTTATTGATGTGTCTCACTTTTCTTTTAGTTTTATTGATGTGTGTCTCACTTGACTGCATACGTACTTCATGTGTGCAGTGCCTGTGAGTCCAGAAGAAGGTGCCAGTTCTCCTGGAATTGGAGTTACAGATGATTGAGAGCCACCATGTGGGTGTGGAAATTGAAGCCCACTATTCAGGAAGAGTGTCCAGAGCTCTTAACTGCTGAGTGGTCTCTCTAGCCTTTCTCTAGTCTTTGCTTTCTAAGATGTTTGTCTCTCCCCCTCTCTACCCATTATATATTAAGGATATAAGTACAATAAAAGGAGACAGTTTTGCCTGTGAGGTTCCTTGCTGCATAGTTAGCAAAGTGACTGGATGAATGAAGGCTGTTGAAGTTTTCAGAACTTCCCAGTTGGCTTATATCTTATGGAAGCAACCCAAAACCTTTCGCCCTCTGTTTCCTATTGACTGTAGAGACTTTACTTGCTATTTTAAAGTCTCAGGAAAGCCCTTCATGCCTGTTATATTCCCAACGTTACTCAAGGATCCTTTCCTTCCCATGTGACTTTATGGAAATTACTTAACTCCCTACATTTCAAAGAGCTAATCTGAAAAATGTGATTAAAGTAGAATGTAGCACAATAGAATATCATGAAGATTAAATAAAATGATGGACAAAGACAATTTGATCAGCAAATCTAATATGTATTAGAATTCTGTAAGTACTTGTGATTTAAATTATTTAATAACTGCATTGCTTTAAATGAATTCATTATTTCACCACTTTAATTAACATAAGATAAATACGATCTTTTTCAGATCGTCCTTCCCTTAAGAATAAGCAGCAAGTAGAAAACCTACAAGAACCAGTTCTACAACTTTTGTTCAAGTATTCAAAACTGTACCACCCAGAAGAGCCACAGCATTTCGCTCACCTCATAGGGAGGCTTACTGAACTGAGAACCCTGAGTCACAGGCACTCAGAAATCCTCAGCACCTGGAAAACAAAGGACCCCAGACTGGTTACAATACTCTCTGAGAAATGGAATTTGCACTCATTTAACTGAAAATTTAGAATGTTGAGATTTGTCTTAAAATTTCAAAATCAATATTGGATGACTAATTTGACAACAGTAAAGAAAACCATTGTGTTATCATACATCGCCATAAAATGGAGATCCTAAGGGTCATCATTTGGATTTGGATTCTCGGCAGAGGAACACCCTAGGATTCTTCCCAATGGAGCTGTGTGGTGGCACAATCCCCTTGCTTGGGAGATACAGCAGGGTGATCCCAAGTTTAAGGCCATCCTGGGCCGCATCTCAGAAGAAGAAAGAGGAGAACTGATGGCTATTGCTTTTTCATGAGTCGTCACCTGAAGAAACTTTTTTTTCATTTAGCTGACAATATCTAATGTACAAACATGAACAAAGGTTAGTTGTATTAGGATAAGGCAGTGCGTATGCCTCACCTTAAGGACACACGGATGGAATGAGAAGCTGATGCCTAAAGCTATCTTGTCACAGTATTTCATGACTGATTAAAGAGGAACAACACCTTTCAAATTGTATCTGCTTTGTATTTTTAATAAGTATATGCTAATTACACAAAACATGGAGTTTCATTATGAAAATTTCATACATGTATATATTTTAGTTGTATTTACCACACACTCTGTAATGCCCATATATTACTGATGCCCTTCTTGCACCCCGGTAGTCCCCATCTACTTCTGTGTCTTAAAACAATAGATTCACACATGCAAGCAAACATCTGATTCTAGTCTGAGTCTGATTTATCTCCTTTAACATGAAGATGTCCATCTATTTCTCTGCAAATTACAGTTTCATTCCTCTTAAGGACTGGATTGTGTGTGTTTATCTGTATATATCACATTTTATTTATCCATCCATCCATCTGTTGATGGCACCTAGCTTGATTCCATATCTTGGCCACTGTGAATAGTGCTGTAATAAACATGACTATGTAGGTGTTGTGACTTTATGTGGTTCTTGATTCAGGTGTATTCCCAGAAGTGGTATGGATTATTGGTGGGTCTATCTTTAGATTTGAAGAAAACTATATAGTGACTTACACAGTGACTACTACTTCTCAACAGTTTATAAAGATTCCTTTCCCTTTACAATTCTTGCCAACATTTGTTTTTCCCTTTCTTTTTTTTTTTTTAATTATACGAGTGTGTGTGTGTGTGTGTGTGTGTGTGTGTGTGTGTGTGTGTGCATACCAAAGCACATTTGCAGACATCAGAGGGCGACTCTGTGGCGTGTGTTCCTTCATGTGTTTTTCATGGATTGTCAGGTTTAGACACAAGAGCCTTTATCTTCAGAACCAGCTCACCCCACCCATATCTTTTTCGTATCCTCCATGGCTTGGTTCTGGAAGCCTGACTGGGGTGATGAGTGAATGAAGAAATGACAGACACAAAGACACAGTTCAGAAAAGCTGGGATTGGTTGGTGTCTTAGTCACTTTTCTATTGCTGTGAACAGACACCATAACTAAGGGAACTTATGAAAGCATTTAATTGGGGGCTTGCTTATAATTTCAAAGAATAAGTCCATGATGATAGTCGAAGAGAGCATGGCACCAGGCAGGTAGGCATGGCACTGGAGCAGTAGCTGAGAGCTTACATTCTCATCTGTAAGTTGGAGGTAGGGGAGATAAGAGGGGGGCTGACTGGGCCTGGCATAGGCTTTAGAATCTCAAAATCGATCTGCAGTGACACTTCCTCTCCAACAAGGCCACACCTAATCCTCAAATGGTCCACCAAGTAGGGATCAAGCAGTCAAATATAGGAGAGAGTTGGGGCCATGTTCATTCAAATCAACACAAGTAGGCCTCTGATGGAAGGCAGCAACTATACAACAACCTAGAAACTTAGCACATTTATTGTGCGTCACATAAGGAGTTAGGTTATCTAGACTTGGTTGAAGGTCTCTTAGCTGGGCAGTCTCAAGTTGTGGTCATCCTGGAGAAGGAAGCTTCAGAAGGTAGTTTTGCACACATGTCAATATTCACACATGGACCAGAGGAAGGCTTTGCTATTATCATGGGTTTGAGGCACTGGTCCTTGACATGGTGGTACTCCTGTCAATAATCCACATTCACTTGGGAATTCCTGTGATTTGTACTGCTAAATTTATTCCACCGAAGAAAATATCAGCTATAGATAAAGGAGTTCATTTTAATATTCTGCAATGTCATACATACAAAAACCCTGAGAATACCAAGGGCAGCTTGACTTCATAGCTGAATTTTTAAAGGCAGATCTGAAAAAATGCTGATGAGAGATCTGGCTCTTTGATGAATCCGCCAGGCTTGGTGAACTTGTCAAAATGAATGTAAAGCTGAGGAGGTAAAGCTGAAATGCTCTGGAAAGCAGTGTTTTTAAATAGCTCTACTTCCCTTTTAGAGCAGACAGATGCAGATAAAATGGTCTCTATGTGGATGCACAATGACGGCCTTTGAAACTGTTTTCTAAATGCAAACTGTGGGCTAAACAGCACGCTTTCAATTATATCCTACACACTGTAGTGTAGGATATAAAAAGCAGCACTTAACCCCCGTGAACATTATTTATAGAATGCACTGCTATTACAAGGTCACTATTGGGGAAAGAGAAGGGGAGAAGGAAGAAGAGATAGAGCAAAAAAGCAACTAAAACTAGCCAACAAGATACCTCAAGGAACTCTAGATTGTGGATGCCATGTGATCCACAGGAGCCATTGCCTCATGCTCCTGCTCCAGGCTTCCTCACCGTGTTGGGCCGTGAATCAAAGTTACTATTGGTATTTGATCACAAGGACAAGAGATGAAAATTGATTTGAGAAGTGGGATATACTAACAACAAATATACAGCAAATTTGATGTCATGATTAGTAGGCCTTTGCAAGGAGTTTGTGCACGGAACCAGGAAAATCATGGAATTGTTGGCTAGAGAAACCCTTGACTGCTCTAAGGAGAGATTAAGTGTGAAGTCCAGGCTCTCGGGGTTTCAGAGGGAAACAAAGACTATCAAAAATTGGATTAGAGACCACTTCTGTTACAGCTGGGCAAAGAACCTGGTCACACTATTCCCATATCCTGAGAAACTGAGGTTTAAATAAAAAAATGGACTGTTTTGGTATAAATTATTTTAAAGATAGCATGCATAGGGCTGTGGCATACTTGCTACTTACTGCTTTTAGTGATGTTTGTAGCAATTGAGCAGAAAGATATGAAAAATGTGCAGTTTTTTTTTTAAGGGAAAGGATCTTGATAAAGCTTAAAGGTGCAGACAAGAGTATATAATTGTTAAAAATATTACTACAGTTTAGGAGGAGCTTTCTGCTTTTCACTGTGACAGCAGGAGAGGTCATTGGGAACAATGGCTCACCCACTGGAAGCTCTAGCTTATAAAAAAACCAAATCCATTTGGAAAGGAGAGAGTGAATTGAGAATGTATTTGAAGGGGTTCTCTGCAGAGGTCCCTGCCTGAAAACATTCTCCTAAAGAAGTGTTTCCCTAGATTTGGCCTTGAAGATACAGTTGTGGTCCAAGGGACCAGCCTATGTCTCCAGATGTCAACAGAACTTGGCCAGCGGTGCTGATTTTGCACGCAGGCTAAATGCAAGAGTGAGGGGTCATGAAAATTTGTAATGACCACAGAGGCCAGGCTATGTGTGGTAGGGTCTGATTACTGGCAAGGAGGCCCCCAGAGGCCATTGTATGAAGCTGTGAAGGTGAAGCCTAAGTTATAATGGAGACTCAAACATGTTGGAGATGACAAGACTGTGAGGCATCTGCTGAGGAAAGTTGCAGGCATGAAAGTAGAGCCAGCCCAAGAAAAAGATTACCTGTGTCTTCCTTCGGGAGAGCTGGGTCATTTCGTCTGTCTCAGTACTGTAATAATGATATATCTAGCTATCCAAGCCTGCCCCTTTGCCTTCCCTCCCTTTTACTTAAAACACACTGATTTGACATACTAAATGTATTTTCCAGCTGATACCTCATCTCCACTGACCGTGTGATAATTCGAGTTCATACATCTTGTCCAAGCTATGAAAACTGTCCCACTGCATAAGCCGGAAGCATTCTTCATTGTATGAATTTTCTTCCCAACCTGCTCATGCCAGCCTTACTGCTCAGACTTTCCTCACGAGCCTCCTTTGTAAAGTCTAAATCTGTGAGACCCCCACCCCCCCACCCCCCTACCCCTGCTTTCCCCCGCCTTCTTTTTATCTCCAGTCTCTGTTCTTGCCTCCCCCCCCACCCCCAGTCCTCATCACACACCTGCATCCTACCTTCTTGGACCCATAAGACTTGCAGACAGCTTACTGCTTTGCCCAACTTGTGATTTGTCAGGGGTTATTGATTGTGCGGCCACAGCAGAAGCCGTGACAAACACCTACTCCCCAAGCCATCTTCAGCACCACTTGCGGTGTCCTGGGGCTCCTTAGAAACAACTCCTTTTTAATGGGACTGGAGAACATTTATTGCTCTAGCCCATGACCCATGTTTTGTTCCCAGCTCCCACATGGCAGCCCAACCATCTGTAACTCCAGTTCCAAGGGATCCTACATACATGCTGGCAAAACACCAACGCACATAAAATAAAAAAAATAATTTTAGTATAGTGTAATAGCAGAAAAGCCCTCAACTTCCATAGAGGGCATTGTGATAAAGTCCCCTGTGTAGTAGCCTATCCTGGCACTCACTCTGTAGACCAGGCTGGTCTCGAACTCACAGAGATCCACCTGCCTCTGCATCCCGAGTGCCCACCGACGCCCGGCTCACACAAAATACTCTTACACACAAACCAGAAAGCAGTAAGTCCTCTGAAAAAAAGGGAACGACTCCGTTAAATGGCTATATGGCAAGGTAACTGTTGGCACGCTTAGGTGTGAGCGCCTCAGCTCATCCGTCTCATACCACGAGGGCTTTCCCAGCGTTCTCTGACAACACTAGGAAGAGACTATGTGGAGAATAAAAACACCCC